GTTTAGGGATTTTAAGGGTTTAGGGGTTTAGGGACTTTAAGGGTTTAGGGTTTAGGGATTTTTAAGGGTTTAGGGTTTAGGGATTTTAAGGGTTTAGGGTTTAGGGGTTACAGTGGGATAGTGGAAAAGAAATTGGAAACTACTATAATGGGGCTATATAGGGTTTAGGGTTAGGGGGTTACATTGGGATAATGGAAAAGAAAATGGAAACTACAGGGATTCTAGGGGTTATATAAGGATTTTATAGGGTTGAATAGGGGTTGTAGTGCTCCCCCAATGGGTCCTTAAAGGGGAAGTCTAGGTTTAGGGGGTTTAGGGTTTAAGGTGTTGAGACTAAGGGTTTAGGGGCGTAGGGGTCTAGAGATTAGGCAGTAGGGGTTTAGGATTTAGAGATTTGGGTTTAGGGTTTAGGTATGTAAGGGAATGGAAAAAAGAATGGAATCTGCCCTATTATTTGAAGTCAACTTGCTGGTGCTTTACCCCTCCCCCTCCACAACTTGCTATATATGGGGTATATAATGGAATGGAAACGAAAACGGAAACAATCATGTTATCTAGGGAGTAGGCTTTAGTCGCAAAGGAGGGAACGGAAAAACACGTGGAAACTGCGGTATTGTTTACGGCTTGGGCTAGAGAGTTAGAGCTTCATGCTCTAATAGGGAATGCAGGCCTGCATTACATGGACAACTCCTGCATCCTCTACTTGAATAGCATTTTTGGGTGGTTGAACTTCATAAGATCATAGTCCTTGTATAGAATACCCCGAAAGGAGGATATAGTCTTACTCTAAAGAGGGTATCATGATATCCCGAAATAAAATACTACTCACTTGACGCTAGGACGTGAGCCAAAGAGACCAATTCATTCTCATGGGATACGCCTGGGCCTTTTGGCTTCGGGGCGAAAACATATGTTTGGTGCTCAGGCCGTAGATGTTTTGGTTGGGGTCAGGGCTTAGTATGTGAGATGTAGAAACCCAACTTTAACATGTAGGATCTCGCAATTAAAGTAAGAGAGTAAGAGGGACCCTTTCAATGTTCCAGGTTTCGTGAGGCTTCGTAAGAACCCTAAGCCACGCTACATCAGGGTTTCGGTGGGGCTGGGTTTTCTGCACCAAGCAGAAACCATGTTTATTTTCTGTGCTGTTCGGATAGTGTAAGGGGGTGGTAAGGCAATCCATGAGATTACAACGAGTTGTCAAGGTTTTGGGCTGTAGGGCTTATGCTGCAGGGCGCTTTCCTCTCATCTGAATGTGCAACCTCTCTTCCAACATGAAACCTCCTGCAAAGGAACATCACGAGCAGTACTAGCACAGATTAAACCGCCATAATCTACGTCCTAACCATGCAGAGGCAAGATTGTTTTCAGCGCCAGCGCCAGCGCTTGGAGGGCGGGTCGTAAAACTCATTCTGCTCACGCTTCCAGTTGGCCTGGGCAACTGCTCGGATAACATGCGCAAGGGCCATATGGGCTGTTCAGGGTCCTGCTTCTGGTGCCACGAAATACAAGGAAGGTGCCGTGTGACATAGGATGCTCTTAGATCCACCACTTGGGAGAAGTATGAGATAGTGACTCTATAAGTTTTGCGTTGGGTCTATCTCTGTGCAGGACCGAAACTTAAATCCTTACTGCTTCCTTGGACCCTGAACTCCACAAGTTTTCAGGCCATCAAGGGCTTAGGATTATGTAGCATCGCTTTCTTTTGCAGACAGGTGTACCATTGTGGGACCACGATTAAGGAGTTTTGGGGTCTATAATGAATGGAGTCCCCTACCAAATACTGTGCTTTCCCTTGAAGAGCCTTGGGTGTGTTACTTTGCACATGTTGCCTACCTCTCAACCCCTGCAGGCCGAACCCGGAGGTATATATGACTAATCCCTTCCACCTGATACGAAAAATCCCCCTAATGGAAAATAACAAATGAAGGGCAATGTGGTTGAATATCAAGCCGAAAGGCGAATGGAAAATCAATGGAAGCTTCGTTGACCGAATGCAGCGGCACAGACATTCAGAACAGGGGGTTGATACTGTGCTTTACGGTTAGAATGATATTTCGGGATAATATCGGTACTTGTTTAGGCTTGAACGTTACTGCGCAGAAGTTTGCATGGACGTAGGAAGACTGGAGCCGACATGCAAGTAGCTAGCTCAGTGCGCAAACTGTTTTCCAAGTGAGTGCATGATGCAGCTTCGTTCGTGCACAAATGTATGCATCGCGTGCGACAGGAAACTGCCTGAGGTTTTGATCATGCCACCTCCTAACACTTCCTGAACCAACCTTCGAATTCTACTTCAACAACGCGGCCCCTGAAACACGTGCGGAAGATAAATGCAGCAAAGGCAGAGGCATGAGCAGCAGTAGGGGAGAGGCCAGTGTCGACAAACACGCAGAAACCCTAAGAATTCCTGACAATTCCCTCTAATTCCCAGCAATAAGCCCAGTAAATGTCTGCACATACTCCAATAGCTTCCAAAATGTCCATTATGACTACTCCTGGGCCATGCTGCTGTGCTTTCTGGTTCCTCAGGAATGTCCCAGCGTGGTCGCTGCCCTGGGCTGTCATATCTTAAACTTGCAGTGTAGGGGGAAATCAGGGGTCTCCTGTTGGGGTGACACGTGATAAGGGTTATACTGTTTTAGGTAGGGTCTACATTGGGTCCGCGCATTTATGGAAAACACGAGGGCTTAAAGTCTGCAGCAGCATCGGTATGGAGATCTCGCCACATCTTTGGAAGAGTGGTTACTCAAGAGTGTCAATTTGGATTTTGCTGCTTTTGGAAATGCCCACGTCTAAAAATCTAAAAGAGGCCGGAATTTGTCATGTGCGCCTCCTCTACACCCACCAAACACCCGGCGCCACATTTGGCTGATGCGCTGTTGCTTGTCGTGAGTTACTGACGGCTACGGCACCTTACATTATTCAATTGAGTGGGTTTGCGTCAAAACCAGACGACATGGAAAGGGACCTTTCTCCAACAGCAGATCTTAACCTCAACTAAAACTCTTATTAAAGAAGCAGGCCTCATTCCAAAACCCTACCCACATCTGAACCTCAAATCCAGAACTCTAAGCCTCCCCGCTGAAGTCCCAATGCTGACCTCCGTTCGTCTCCATATACACCATGCAAATCCTAAACCCCCTGCCCTACCCTCTACACTCTGAATTAGTGAGGATTTTTTCAAGTTGAGTGTCGCTTCGCGGAGCGAGACAGCTGGTTGCGGAGGTCCGTGAACAAGATCTCCTCGCTGCGGTCCTGTCATCACAAAAGCAATTCAGCCAGTCCAAACTCCTAGTATCCCCCTTAACAAACCCTGTAGTAATGCCCTAAATAATCCTCTATATAACCTCCTTCAAGGAGTTTAGACTACAGAGCAGATCATCACCAGCCCGAAGGAAGACTCGGGATCTTCTCCCATCCACGGCTATTTGAAGATCTAAATTTCTGTAATAGGATCCGAAAGCAGCTGAATGCAGTGTCGAATAGAAATCCGAAAGCACGTATTACTCTGTTGCTTCTCATACTCAGTAGTAATTATTCCTGTCAGTATTACTATGCATAGTACTATTACTGCTGTGATTAATACTACTGTGATTGCTGATCTTCTTGCTGATCCAAGTCATCCGCGGGTGCGGTAGGTACACATGCTTGTTGACACTAGCTAGCGTTTATGGTTTAGGGTTTACATTCTGGTCCCTGAGGCCAAGGGAGGCCCAAACTAGCGTCTATGGTAGACTTTAGGGCCCAAAGCAACTAATATCTACAGACTTTGGGGACCAAAGTGGGAATGCTTATAGACATACAGCCCGAAAACCCACAACCCCAAACCCTAAACCCTAAAACCTGGTAACGTTTCAATTAGCTCAGACATATCCCTGCCCGGGGCCTACGATCGACCAGATACCGCCCTTCTGGAATCCCACATCAAAGCTGAGCTGAAGAGGTACACAAGAATGGTGTTACACAAGAATGGTGTTACACCTCATGTAAATTGTATGTGTGTACTTTAAACAGAAGTAAGTACTTATGATAAGCTTCTGTGAAATCCTACCTCTCATAGCATGGGCTTTGCCCCACCTAGATTCAGAATACGCTTCAGCAGGGCGTTGCTGTGGCCCCGCAGCAATTTCTTTCCCCAAGGGTCCATGTATCCAATAATCTGCTACTTGGGGTTTCTGATACTAGCAAAACTGGTACAGGTTTCGGGGATATATATATATATAAAAACCCTAAACGCCCTAAACCTTAAACCTAACTTGTGCACTTGGACCATATTTGGAGTTCGTCTTCGTCCCTCAGGAACTAGCCACATACGAGCCGATGTCCTTGAGCAAGGTCACGTTGAAGTAGCCATGGCCGGAGGCTGCATCCCTGACGGAGGCTTCCATATAAAGGGGGTTTTCTAAACTAAGGGGCACCAGCTTAGGGGTCCCCCAGAATAAGGATTGTAGTAGTTTGGGGTCTATCTTGGGGTCCACTGATTGTGGGAAAACTACCACATGACCACAAGAAACACCGCTTTCGGGGCATTGTGAACCTCTTGTAGCCACCACCAGATGGATGTTTAAGACTCGTTTAAGACTGTAAACACGTAAATGTAAAGACCCTGCGACTTTTCGCACCACATTATGGCAAATCCAACGGTTTTCTGGGTTATACATGATATGTTACTTAGAAGGTCCGTACTGTATGCTGAACGGGAAATACCTGGAGTTCGCAGGTATCCAAGGGTTAACCCTCGGATACCTAGAACAGGAGTATAAGTAAATCCCAAAGGGTTGCAGATCTAAGGTCCGAGCTAAGTCCCAAGGAGTTCATTCAGTACGCATTGTGGCGTGAGTCTCAGGTTTGGAGCGGCATTATTCCGGGTTGCTGTTAAGGAACTTAATTTAAGTTACTATATTGGGGAAACCCTAAAGTTTACTATATATACCCATTATGGTAACTTAATTTAAGTTCCTTAACAGCAACCCAGTATTCTGAAGAAGGAATTTTTGAGGGAGCTGAGCTCCGGGAGCAGATGAAAGGCAGTAAGTGTTCGGGGTTTATGGAACTATTGAGGGTTAAGGGAACTATTTAGGGAACTATTTAGGATTTAGGGTCTAGGGAACTATTTAGGGTTTAGGGAACTATTTGATACTTGATTCTGGAGCCCAGGGTTTAGGATCTGGGGCCCGTCTTCATGCACTCTAGATCAAGGCTATTGAACTTGCTCTATGACGGACCCTAAACCCTGAAACTTCAGGGTTAACTTGCGTGTGCTTTCAGAAGCGTACAGAAGGACCATATGATCTCAGGGTTTAGGATTCCGCTTGGGCCTTAGGGGGTCAGCAAGTAGTCTCCCCAGCCACCAGCGTTTGCTGAACCTGTTACGACCCCTAATGTAGACCCGTGATTAATAACCACCCTCCTTTTAATAAGCCCTGATATTAGGATCCCTAATATAATTCCCATTAAGGGGAGGGGGTTTATTGATTAGGGGTCTACATTAAAACCTGAACTGCACCAGGCTCTCAAAGCCAAGGCCAGCGTGCCCAAAACAGGTGTTACAATATCATGGCTTAGCCCCTTACCCAGAATCCCCAAATAGGGAACCTTCCTGTAACCCCAGTTGCTTACAGCTTCGTTGCAATGTCCCCCCTCACTTGACGAGTGAGTAAAACCAATAGAGCTGTGGTAGTTGAAGTTCATGTTGACCCTGAACCCAAAACCCAATCGGCTTTCCTCTTGACCCCTGAACCCAATCCTAAAACCTAAACCCTAAACCCAGACACAGCGGGTCTCCTGCCTTCTCCTCTTGGGGTAGTCTGAATTTGCCAGTTCTGCCGGGACCTGTTGCCAGGGCACCAAATAAGCGGTTCCAAGCAGGCATTCTCCAAAATGGGCCCCGCTTCTGATTCAAAGTATCTACAACCCTGATTACCCTGATTACTAATACCCTCCCCCTAATATTAAAATACTCCCATCATGTGGTATATTATAAGATATTGGAAGTTTTTAATATTTGGGGGGGGCGGGGTGGGGGGCATTTGATTTTAGGGGGAGGGAATTATAGGGCGCCTGCGATTTCAAGAGGGACCACTAGTCTTGAACAATCCAGCTTTCAGTCAAGGACCATTTAGGGTTTAGGGTCTACTTGGGTTTAGGGCTTAGGGTCTAGGGTTTAGGGTTTATGGTTCAGGGCTTAGAATCGTTATAGGCATTCCAAGGCATGTCTTTGGAGTCCATATGTGGAAGGTCAGAGGGACTTAGTAAGTAGGTTAGTAATGGGGATAAGGAAATGGGGATATTTCATGGTTCAAAGGGGTGTTAAGTATACCTGCTAAGTCACCCTCACCCTCCAAGTAGGTGATAGCGATGCGCAGAACAGACTGAAATCGTCTAGATGAGCCCCACCCAGAAATCCTGAATCTTATATTCGCTATAAGCCCTACACCCCAAACACCAAGCCCTGAGGCAGCCTCAACCATCTGGGAGTGGCAGCGCTTTCTCGAACGGTAAGCTGTCTCCTTGCGATCGCAAAAGGAAACAGAAGAAGCCCAAAGTTTATGTGGGTGAGGGTTTAGGGTTTAGGGTGTAAGGTTTAGGGCTTAGGGTTTGGGGCGTTTACTACATGGCAGCAAGCACCAATAACAAATCAAGCCAGGGTCCAGAAACTTTGCAGGAGTCTGAACCCTTCAACTAGTAGCCTTCGCAAAAGATGCCGGATCATCTTGGACCCATGCGACTCTGCTACAGTAGAGACTGTCTTAGATCTCTCTTTATACAGTTTGGGTTAACAACAAACAAACAAATGGATCGTTGTGCTGTCCAAAAAAACATCAAGTCGGCTGTACAATAAGGCCGCACTGCTTCTTTGTGCTGTGCAACCGACAGTTTTTCTCATCTGCCAACCTTTAAGATCTCCTGGTTGACTTGCCGGCTCGACAACCAGGGTTTAGGGTAGGAGCGCCCTGAAACTCTATTAAACTCTTGAAGGCCCGAAATTTCCCGTTAACCTTTTTGAAGATGACCACAAGACTGTTGCGCAGTAAGCACATTGCGGACGGTGGGAAGGAAAGCCATCAGTATAGCAATGACATCTTGAATGCACATGCACAGGAAACGGTACATTGCCAAGGATTCTGCAAATGGCCATATCACCTGTGTCATGGCAACATGTCAGGACCACAAGTATCAGGCGAGCGGCGCTCACCGTGTCGATGATTGTGTTCACCTCCCATGGGCAAGCAGTCTGCTACTAGTCTGCTAGTAGCATAAGCTCAGCAATGACATCGTCGGTCGGATTGTTTTTGGGATGTTTCCTTCATTTCACTACGATCTTTGATAAATCCTCTGCTTGAGAATGGCTTTCCTTTCTGACAATCTTAATAACTAACAACTTAGGGCTAAAGTTGCTATCGTGTCTTCGTGTCAGTATGGCACTCGACCCGAGCTACACGAGAAGCATCAGAGTACGGATTGACGATGATGATGATGATGATGATGATGATGATGACAGCACTATCAACACCAGCAAAAGTGACGATAACCAGAGCAATAACCATAATGACAATGGTAGCAGCAAGAACAATGACATTCCTGACAGTGGCATCAACAAAACATGTTCGTTGTTGACACCCTTAACCCTAAGCCCCTAAGCCCTGACCCCTGAACCCTAAGCCTTTCTGGGATGCAACTGCCAGGCAGAATCCTCATCTGGCTTCTGACCCGCTCATAATTAAACTGAAAGACATCTCATTAAATGGGAAATTCGTAACGGTCTAGGGTGTAGGGGGTTTAGCGTAGTGCTTCAAGACTTACATAGTAAGGCTACTTGAAGATAGGTGCCCCCATATAGATAGCTCATACTAAGCACTAAACCCGTTAGGATCTAGTTCATCGCAGCAAACGCAGAGCTGATTCTCAGGAGCAGGCATCATCGAAGCTGGACATGGTATCTTCCCGGCAGTGGACCTTGTTCAGCAGCATTAATCATAACATACTTGTCATTGTGCTGGAAATGCTAAAGGTAAGAATAACAGAAACATAACAGTAATAGTAACCAGTCCAAACGATATGAGCATCTGTAGGACTACAAGAATCTTCTGCCGGAGCAGCGTTCGAGATGTCATTATCTGTAGTGACACGAAATCTCTTTCCACGTGCCAGCCAGACACGAATCTGCACAGGGACAGCTCAGAGTGATGATGATGATGATGATGATGACGATGACGATGAGCATGAGAGTGATGAAAGTAACAGCATCACCAGGGATTGTGATACTTTCAGGCATGACAGTAGTTGTAAGCGGACGCATGCAAACCAATGGTAAGGGGGCCAGCTCCCCATAAACCCTGGTGGATGTACTTGGGCAGTAAAATTGGCCCAAGAGGCAGTAAGCAAAAGGGCCCAAGAAGCTCAACATCGACAGTTACCAGGACTATTACCAGTACTACATCAGTGCATGACTGTATCACTGCTTCTGTTACTTCTACTATTACATCTAGTAACTATTGCTACCACTACTGCTAATACTTAGTGAAGGTTACATCTAGTAACTATTACTACCACTGCTGCTGCTACTTGGTGAAGCTGCTGGTGAGGAGGTGCTTCCAAGGCCTCCTCAGAGCAGCTTGACAAATCGTCTCATGCTCTCCTACCCAGACCCCTGGGAGGATTTAAAAAATAGATCCCCTATACAGACCCATTATAACCCCCATATAATCCTCATATAATTTCCCATATAGTTCTAGGGGATCTAATTTTTAGATCCCTTTGGGGGTCTGGGTAGTTCCACACCCTAAGCCCTAAACCTTAAACCAGACAGACATCGTCCTCGATTTGAGTTAACCGCTTCGGATGAACAAGAGACCGCCAATTGAAATTCTACGAATGCCTATCTTTTTTTTTGCATGTAGGTAGGCAAAAAATGTACGTATCATGCCACCCAGTTTGGCATTCAGAGCTGAGCATTCGAGGCTAATCTTGGAGACTTCGCCTCCCTGGACTTGAAGAGGCGAGGGATTTTGCAATTAAGGTGATGTGAGAAAAGCCCGATTTCTTTCTGAACAACAGCCCGTCGCACTTGAAGCACTTAACTAATGCTATGCAACAGGCTTTGAGCCAAACCCTACATCCTACAGATAATGCAACGTAATCTAGTCTATCGTCATAATTGTGTACACACACATATATAGAAATAAACATATGCTTTGTGCCAAGCTGTGCTTCGTTTAGTGCCAAGTCCTCTGTTTTGGGGAGGTTGCCGCCCAGCAGAACATCCGTCTTTAGATACACTCTGCTCCCAACTCCCTATTCGCACGCTCTGGGCCCTGAACTCGCAACCCTCCAGGACTCAGGGTTTGGGGTTTACCGTCCTTGAATCCTGCAGGTTTAGGCTTTAGGGTAACCCAACCCTAAACCCTAAACCCCTAGTCCCTGAACCCTGTAAAGCTGAGGTCGGCGCGCCCCAGACGATGGGCACGTCGGCAAGCTTTGGAACATGTCGATCAAGGTACCACTCAAGAACCCGGCCTGGGTTTTGGGCCAGGCGTAGGGCTTGGGTTTAGTAGTGTAAACTAATTGTCAAGGAGATTGGTACTAGTAATGGTATATATTGACAGTAAGTCATGCATCTAGAAGATATGTGAAACTCTGTCTGCATAACTCTGTTATGGTTGTTGCATTGTCGAAGTTTAGGGGGTTTGTGACCTGCTTAAGCTTGTGGGTTCAGGGCCTTTCGCCCGTCCCCACGTTGGTTGAACCAGATACAAATCGGGGTTTCTCAAAACAGGGGCGCTTAGGGACTCTGGGATAGATGGGGCCCAACTAGGTTTAGGGTTTATAGTGCCCCTTAAGTTGATAGAATATGGGGTATATGGGGATCATCTTTTTATAGTATACACAAAGCCATGTTCTATCTACTTAAGGGGGACTATAGGGTTTGGGGCTTGTTAGAATTCTATAGGAGCAGTTCTGAGGACTCCCATATCTCCTCGCCCATGGCCAGGATAACAACTTACCTTCCCGTTCCCCTGAGACCGTACAAAGACCCCAAGAATATTGACATGGGCTACTTCATGCTCAAGTCACATATAGCAATCCTAACCACGTTCATTCTGGTAGCTTTGGACTCGGTAGGCTTCTACGACTTCGAACCCGGTGACTTCCCAGCCTGCAGAATAGCCGTGGGCCAGTTCAGAGGATTTAGGGTTTACGCGTTGAGAGTCTAGGGTTTAAGGACCTCAAAGCACCCAGAACAGGGTCAAACTACATGAGGTTCTCAGGATCCAGGTACAATGAATTTCAAGACAATTGACTCAAAGATGATGGTCTGCAAGCATAGCAACAGTTGGCTTGACTTGCTTCGGGACACACAGTTTTGTAAACCTCCTCGCTAAATTCCGCAACTCTACGGCACAAGAGGTGCAATCTCCAACATCTTCCTACTATACTCTCCAGCAGACTCTGTGACTTACATCCTCAAAAATCTTATGATACGCGTAGCAACATGGTCTTGCGAACTCTAGACTCTAGATCTGGAACTCTTCCGAGCTTTTTGCAAAAGCCTCTGAGGACTTTGCCTCTGGCAACACATCAGGGAGTCTTCTTGCCTGTCTCAGATCCTAGTTCTTCTACACCCTGAGCCCAAAGCCCTGACTGCCCTGAGCCCTGAACCCTGGAGCGCCCAATGCCCTGAAACTTTTATTCAACTGCGCGCCGAAGGACGTCCCTTGGGCTGAGGAGCCCCTGAAGTCTCGGTGGGCTCTTGGGTGCCTTCAGTCAAGGCTTATGTTAATGTATGGATCTTATGAAGTCTAGGGTTTGCGGGGCTTGGGGCTCAAACAACGCTTGGCGGGATGTTTGGAGCTTGGCGTGTCGGGATTTATCGGGATTTGGAGGGAGTACCACAGGATGTTCAGGCTCCACTCTACCGTCTCCATCTGATTTGGTTCTCCATGTTTGGTAGCTATTCTACCCCATGAAAGGCAAACCCCAAACCCTAAACCTCCAGTCCAAAACATTGGCCTAGCAGGTTAATAGGTATAGCAGGCATAGCCCACAAACCTGTAGGTAATCGGGTATTTTTCATCAACCCTATAAGCCCCAGATATGCTTTCATATTCCTTTTATACCACCTATACGGTCTTTCACTCGGGGCGAGTCATTGACCCATGAGACAGGAGCTAAATTGGGCCACATGTAAACCCAAAACCCCTTAAACCTTAAAGCCTAAGCCCTATACTCCAAACCCGAGATCGATGCGAGGGGCTCAGGAGATTCCTGGATCAGGGGTTGGCTTTGGGGGCCTTAGGGTTTAGGCGGGATTACTGATCGAAATAAAGCCTGAACCCTGCAAGACTTGGCTTGAGGTTGAGCGCTCAGAGGTGAAAGACCCTGAGGCCTAAACCCAGTACGAGTACCCTAAGGGCCCAGGTAACTAATATTCATATACTTACCCAAAACCTATACTATAGTTACTATGTCCCAAATATCAAGTACCTAATTTTGGGTACATGGACCCCCTGGGGTACAGCGAGGCAGGGTTCTGGGCTTCATTTCCCCTAAGAATAGCTCCCCTAGATTTAAGGGAGTTAATTAGGTGCGTATTATAAGTGCTCTTAAGGGGAGGGGGATTTATCAATCATGGGACATTTAGGGTTTCTGACTGCCGTCAAGAATACCCATTCCGTAGCCGGCAATCGAGATGACGGCGTCAAAGGCCTGAGACGAGAGCCGTTCAGCATTTGGAATTGTAGAACAGGGATCTTCAAGCGCTAGTTATGACTTTTGAACCAACCTGAAGGTCTGGCATGCTAGATGCAAGTTACCCTGTCATTTCCGTTTCCAAGCCCTCACCTTTCCCTGCCAACAACGAGTAAGTGTTCAATATTTATGGGAGAGGATTAGGTGGTTTCCTAAATCCAATGTAAACCTTCAACCCTGCATAAACCCT